CTAAAGAATTACACGTGATAAAAAAGATTATTTATTCATATATACGCCTCGCCTCGATTGATAATAGTTTTTAAAAAACACATAATGCAATAATATAATTATTAGCAACTTATATTGACAAAAGGTTATGAAACTAATAGTTACCATTTTAGACAATGTTTTATAGAATGGACTAATAAGGAAAAATTTATAGGCCTAAACCAAATTAACCATTATTGAAGAAGAGATAAACGACCAATCCAAATCATAAAACTATATGGTGGTTAGAGCTTCCTCTTAGATGACATGATGGAAGCTAGATAAGTAATCGAGAAAATTATTGTGAGATATTAAATTTCTAAAAGATTATCTTTCATTTTTAATGGTATATAAACGACTAGATATAACTATTATTGTTTATCTAAAATATACAATCATATCTTCTCAGCAGCAGTAGTAATAATCTTAAATTACATAGCTACACAAATAATAGATACTGGTTTATTTGCAGTCATAGCCATAACACTCACAATGTAAACTAATATCAGATATTATGTTAAATAAATTGATTACATAAAAACACTAAAAATCATTGGATAGAAATAATTATGCAAATATATTGAAGCCTTGAGTTATTTGCAAGACAAGGATGCCATATTAGAGATGAAACATTTATACCTATAAAAGAAGGACTAGAATGATATGATGAAACAATTAAGATTCTATATAATATTGTCCTCCTCTATTTGCTATATTGTATCTTAAAATAATAGTAATTTGTAATAATATCAAAAAATATACTCGTATTAAAAATTTTACTCAAAACTGTTTCGAAAAAGAAAAAAATAGCTTTCCTAAAAATATGTAAAAAAGAGAAGAAAGGATATCTAATTTATTATATCCATTGTAGTATGAATAATAAAATGTTTAATTTAAAATTATTTTTAACTAAATAGAGGGCGTTAAATACTTAAATGCAAATTGTTACAATATTTATTATCAAAAGCATTTATTAGAAAAATTTATTATAATTTAACGGTAATATATTATATAACTGTCAAATACGTCTATAAAAATGTCATTAATCTAATATTTTATAACCAACTATATATAATAGAGGATTATAAACTATATGTCTATTTGTCGATTTACTTATTTTTTATAAAGAAATCTCTTATACTTATTTAGACCTTGAAAATATTTTTAGGAATAGGTATGATAATTTAATTTAAAAATAAAACAGTTGATTAGTCATTTTGAACTCGGCTAATTACAATATTAAATTTGTTAGTTTTCAATTAATAATTATATTTATTTAATGAGGGTTATATAATAATTTAAATAATAATAGTCAATTAAGCTTCAACTGTTTATGCTAAATTAATATTTAGTGAGTAATATTGATATTCTATTTTTAACACAGAATTTAATTGCAAGCTGACATAGTGAAAATATAATTTATGTGTACTAATCTAATCTAATACTTAAAATTATATTCATTTAATAAAAATTTAGACAGTCTTATTAATTTTTAATTAATAAAATTAAATCTATATATTATTTATTAGAATTATAAAAGAAATCGTTCAGAGGTCAATCAAAAATATTTATTTTTATTTCAAAGGATAAGATTCCATTAAAAAATTTTTTTTTTTGCTTCAGGGGGCTCTTCAAATTTTTCAGGGGGCTCGAGCCCCTGCGCGCTCTCCCCTAGTAACGCCACTGATATGATGGACATGATTAGGTGGGGTCTATGCAATCCCAAGCTCCAAAAACTATAAATGCTGAATAATCAAACAAAATAAATTATTTTGCAGACATATACTTTACTTACAAATATTAAACTAAAAGATTCATGCAAAAATAGAAAATAACATACGACTAGAGTATGTATAGTCCCCCCCCCCTATACATGCTATATTTTTTCTATATTTATCATTTTAAATTATTTTATCAAAAGTAATAAAAATTTTCTTGTCAGTTACAATAATATATTTATAAATTTTAGAAGGTTAATTATCAGTTTTGACTATTGGTCATAGTTATTAAATGTAAATATCTGTATTTAATTTATACATGTATAATAAATAAAATTTGAACAAAAAAGCAAATTAATGCCCTAAAAGTTGCAGGAGGCTTAAAATCTAAGAAACCAGATAAATATAAAAAAATGTTTTTAATTCTTATTTATTAAAAAAACAACTGTCTTTGAGATTAGGACAAAGCAAATAAAATTTTATAAATTAATATTTTTTGATTAAATATTAGGGTGTTTAAAAAAAAACTTAGGTTTAAATTATTTTTTAATTTGCAGATGATAAAACTAAAAATAAATTTCATGTCAAAATACATCAAAAAATTGTACCATATAAAGTGAATGTATTTTTAGGAACCTTTTTTATTTATATTTTTCATATTAAATATGGTTACAATTAATGGGCATAATCAAAAAGTATTTATTGCATTTATAAACCCATATTTAAATTTTTTAGTTTTTCAATTTGAATTGTTTGCTATAGGGGATTGTGTTGTACATTTGGAACTCTTTCAAATTTTTAAGCTTAGGTTAATAAGTAGTTCTTCTTGAATGTCATTGTGACCTTTAAAAAAGGTGTATCTTTACTTTATATTAGTTATTCCCTAATCCTTCCAAGCTTCCTAAATTTTCGCCATCTTGGTTTTATTTGAAATATCAGAATTATAGATCTGGACCATGCTTGATTAAAAATTGGGCTGGGCTATTATTTTTCATTTGCAGAATTCAGCTAAAATTATTTTGAATGATATTGATATTTGATATGGCTAAGTTAATCTTATATTCCTTTCATTGTTACTCCTTAAGATCAATAAAAATACTTTTAGATTATTAATATAAAATATTACCTTGTAGATTTTCTCAAGTAAATAAAAATTATAATTATTAAAAAATGGAAGAATTAAAGAAATCTTTTAAATATACTGGTATATCAGTTTTAAGCTTTAATAAACGAGGGTCTGATATTTAGTATTTTCACTAAATATCGAAGGTGTGAAATTTAGTTTTTTCACTAAATATCACGGGCGTTAGTAGCAGTCACGGCCATAAATAAGTTTATTTGGGTAATGATAATGCACGGTAAGCGTGCACTATTTTTTTCATGTTTTTCATATATTAACAAGCACGCCAAAATACGTCATATATTTATTTTTTTGTAAATAAATAAGTAAAATTACGAAAGCTCTCGTTTATAGATGTTCGTTTTATAATTATTTTATTTGAAAAACTAAACAATTATTTAAACATTCAATATGGACATTCAATTAATATCATAAAAGTAATCGTATTTATATAGTTACAATAATGACTATATTTAAAATTTAATGAAACAGGTTATTTAAGCATTTTTATCAATTTATATGTTACCTATTTAAATTGTACGTTAGAAAAATTCTATTTTTATAATTTTTTAGATTAAACATTTTATATTATTTTATTATATTCAAAATAAGGCTTCTATTTAGCAAGCGACAATAAAGACAAGAAGTATACACAGAAATAAACTATTGACAGGATTAACAAATTGTTATAAAGTATTCTCTTTTTGCCAAAGAATCTGTCAATACACAAAGGCCCTTTTGAAATTTTTTTTGTTTTAAAATGTAGCTTTTGTTTTGATCCAAAGAAAAATTTATATTTTTTATAGTCAAAAAAGAAATAAACAACTTTTCATTATAATGTGAATTCTCATAGCAGATTGAATATGAATATTTTTTTAAAAAGTTTATATCATAACAATTTTGATTTAAACAATATAACTTCTAAAAGTCAAATAAATTTAGAGATAACAATATTTTTAAGAATATATTTACTATTGACTTGAAATGTAATTATTAAAAGTTTTACCTAAAATTTTTATCTTACTCTATAATCTATTAATAGGTTGGGGCTCAACTTGAATCATTTAATGATTTGCAGGTATAAAGATAGCTAATATTATCCAATACTTTAAGAAACAAATATTTTTATCAATTAATATGTTGTCTAAGATGCATAAATGAGATGTAAATAATTCCAAATGAATCATAACATATTTTAGTCAGTTTGATTTAATTTCATATATTATCACTCAGAGTTTGATTTTATTTTTTCTGCATGTATTTTATCAAAAACAGTCGAAATAACCTGGGACCTTAAAATTTTGCTTATTAATGAAAATTCACTAATAAAACTTTTTTTCTTCAAATAATTGGCTTCCAAATTATTCCAAAGAATCTTGAAAACCATAGTAGCTAATATAAGCTTCTCTAATCTTATTTTTAGCTTAATTGCTGATTGAACTAAGTTCAATATTATCTACCCATTTTGGATTTCAATTTAAAATAAATTTTATAATTCAATCTTAAGTTGTTTTACTTCTTATACTTATTGGTTAAATATTTCTATTAAGTTAAGATAAAAAATCAATGCCATAAACACTATAATAAAATAATTATTTAGATTAAACAATGTTTATTATCATTTTATTATATTCAAAATAAGGCTTCTATGTAGCAAGTGACAATAAAGTCAAGAAGTATACAATAGAAATAAACAATAACAATTTGTAGAAGAAAAAGAGTTTAAAGATAATAAAACATTAAGCTTTTTTTTCCATCAAAAGAGAAATTTATATTTTATATAAGTCAAATAAAAAGAATAAACAACTTTTCATTTTAATGTGAATTCTGATATAATTATGGAATAAATATTTTAAATTATCATATATTTTATTTGAATTTAATGATATCACCTTTGATTCAATTTTATATTTCTTTATCTTAATTTTATTCTAAGCACATAAATTAAACCAAAATGATAGTATTCTTAAATCTTATTAGAAAATTTTATTTTCATTGTTTTGCAAATTTGGCCTACATTTTGATCGATTCATTTGCAAATCCTATAATCTTGCCTTATTTTCCAAAACATCTTTAATTTTTTTTATATCTTACCCTTCTAAATAGCCAAAATAATGTAAAGCAGCCCATAAAAAGTTTCCCTGTTCTTTATTATTGCATTATTTAGAAGTGACTCAATAAAACAAATATTTTTTGAAGGTCATTTTTTATTATAAGATATATAATTTATAAAAAAATAATATTTGTACTATTGATTATATAAAAAATAATATTAAATATTTTATTTAAAAAATGATAGCGTTCTAATTTGATTTGAGCTTGTAGATATATTCCCAACTTTCACAAAAGAAAAATTTGAAGTTGGAACATTTGTGGTGTTATTTAATGTTAATGTCAGTTTGGGCATATTATTTGGTAAAATCCCTTAAAGAAATAAATATTAAATATTATTAAAGTGGTCTATTACTAAAAGGATTTAATGGCCTAATATTAGTTCCATGTGGTAGTACTAAAATAAAATAATTAGGTATATATAATAAAAGTTATTTACAAGAACTGTGGAGTACATTGTTCGTTTTTGCAGAAGTATCCTCTGGTAATATCTTTTTTTGTAATTGATTTGTATTTAAAGGCCCTACAAGAAAAACATCAGATAATAATATAATTAAGTAATTTCATTACTAAAAGAATCTTTTTGTCTATCATAATTACAAGAATGGATAACTATATTCTTATCTGATGAGCCAGCAATGTGCTTTTTAGCATTAGCACATCCTAAAAATAATATATATAAAAAATTAAATAAAGTTTAACAATATATAATAACCTATAAATGTTTGCATTGATGAATTTAAACTGGTAGAATCTTGAAAATATATTATGCAATTAGTATAAAATTTATAAAAAAATACTTGTGTTTTCAGAAAGAGTTTGTAAGGGTTTACTATTTGTGAAAATTTTTATTGATGAGGGAAAACTAGTATCTAAAAAAAATATATTGTAAAGACATAAAAATTTTTTTTGCTTTTCATATAAACAATATTTGCTATTAGCCAAAAAAAAGTGATATAGATGTAACTATAAACTATGTAACCTTTCATATCTATCAAATGCTTAAAGTTGTGATTATTTTCTTTGTCCATTATATTGATGTTATTTATTTGTTTTTCTTTCATCACTTTCACTTTTCACAATTAATATAAATGAATTTAAAGATCAAACCTTTTCTCATATTTTTAGCATCTTTGCGTCTTTTCAAATATCCAGGACTTATTTTTTCTGGCATTTCAATATTTTTTATATTATTGAAATTGATTTCTACTTCACTAACTTGTTTCAGTGGATTTTCTGGTTTTTGTTCAACATCTTTTATATATATTTTTTAAAGTTTACAGAATATATTATAATTCATTAAAAAAAATTATTAATAAATTCTAAAAAAAATGATTACCCATGTCATTAAATTTAAATCCTGATGTTGGATTAAATATATTGATAGCATGTTCAAATTGTTCAATAATTTTAGGAGTAGGCTGACATAGATCTTTATAAACATATTTTAAGTATGTATATATTTTGTTAAATGCATTTTGATTCATCTGAGATGATAATGATGATATATTTTGCATAATATCCTTTACTTTTCTGAATTTTTCATCAGATGATAGAATTTTTTTTTCATTGATAGTATGATTAATTCTAGTGCCATCGATATCATTTTGATTAATATTATTAGTAAGTATTTTATTTTTATCAGTCATCATGTAAATTTTTGAATTCATAAAGTAATCTCTCTGCCATCTTGGATGACATAAATTTTGATCAAACAGATCTATACCATTCAATCTTCTATATTCAAAAATATGCCTACATGGTAATAAAATAGATTCTAAATATCCACAACTACAATTTGAGGGTAATACTGTTAAAGTTGAATTTCCTTCATCATGGGATATTGATAAATTTAGCTGATCTAATATCCTTTTAAAGGCAGCATTAGTCAATATATTTTGATATTTGAATTTTACACTATTTTCTGGATAACTTATTGTAGATATTTTTTTAAGATTCATAATCACATTATGATTCTTTTCCTCATTTGAGGTATCTATACAAATATTCAAATTTTTGAAAAAATTTGTTAAATTTGAATGTTTTTTTATTAGGGTTTTGAGTACCCTATTCATACTCTCCGTCCTATTATTTGTATAAATAGAAAAATTTGTGGTTTTACACCGCCCACTCGTGTCGAATGTTATGCCAATTATTATTAAAATATTCTTCCACATTTGGAAAATTTAATGCCATCAATGAATTATATATTTCCCAATAATGTGCCTCTGTTTTGGTGTAGATCATTTTTTTCAAAAGATTTAACACAACCTTTACCTGGGTAGAATTTATATTTCTCTTTTTAACGGTTATTTCTCTAATAAATGTTTGTTGTACATGGAACGTACATATTTCAAGTGAAGCCATAGGAAAGGCTTCTCTATAAGCATGTCTATCAGCAAAGTCCTTATCTGCAATTATTACTTTAATTTTATTATTATTATCATTGTACGATTTAAATAAATCACACATATTTTTAACAATTAAATAATTCTCAGATTTGACTATCCAGATAGCAGCAAATCTCGTTTGTTCTTCGCCATCAATAACAAAGAGAGTAAATACTGGCATTTGATAATAATTTAATTTATAAGTTGCATCAACCAGGAGAATCTCTGGAAATGCTCTAAAGTAATCCTTCATATTTGGGGTTTGGTAATATATCCCATGAAGGGCATTGTTTTCAGAAACTATTTTTATAATATTATTAGGGTTTAAATTTTTTAATAAATTAAAAACATCCAGGAGCTCAGAGTCCCCTGGTTGATATAATATTTTCTTTTTTATATTATATAAATCTCGATTTGTTGTGTAAACTCCTTTTTGTTGGAGGTCATATTTAATTTTAGGAATTGAGGCATCATATTCTAAACACTTAACAATTAATGATCTTGATTCATCATTTATTTTACGTTGCTTAGGTAAACGCATGAATAAATTATAATCTAAATTAATAAATAAAAATTGTATATTTCTTAAAAATATATACCCAAATCATGATTATGCCCACTATTCATTTTGGAAACCTCTAGCCTATGTAGATCCCCTATTATTATGTGCTTTACTGAAAAGCTGTTTGGGCAATTTAGTTGTAAAGTTTGGGTAAGTCGTTTTCCTTTCCCAAGACTTTTAAAGTGTCTTCCTCCATGTATACAAACATAACGTATATATTTGTATTGTATTGTTTGAATGTTTTCATCAAAATTACCAAGCTTGGTACATGTTGCTATATGGTAATTTGTAAACACTAGATTTTCATATTTATCTATAGCTTCTTGCAAATCATTAAATGATTCAAATTGTGCCCCAACCTATGAAATAGATTATAGAATAGATAACCTTATTAAAAAAAATATGCATTGTTACTTCTATTTTTTTTGACTTGTAGAAGTTATTTCTTCATCTAAATCAAAATTGCTTTGATATTCATCCATAAGAATCTAATATAGGGTAAGAAATATTAATGAGTTGGGTATAAACTAATAATCATTATTATTTGGATTTTTTTTGTGCTAATATTTATATCATAATCTTGAATTAATAGAGAGATGGTAAATAAGGGGTAATATATTTAATTTAACCATTCCAAATATCACAAATCGTTTTTATTTGTATGTTCAACTACATACATTTTTGATTAGGGCTTGTATTTAAAGAGAACCAGGGTGGGCCTAACAACTTAAGTAAAAAATTTGAATAGGGTGGGTAGCACAAAGGCTAACATTTAACCTGTCCAGTGTGCCTGTCTAAGCATAACTATAAATTTAACAATTATTCTTTTATAATATAAATTTAGTATAAAAATACTTGGCTATCAAGGTACTGTAAAATGAACAGGTACTGTAAAAGGAATAGGTTCTGTAAAAGGAATAACCTATTTCATTAAATTTTAAATATAAAATTATTATTGTAACTAAGTATATAACAATATACTTTTATAATATAAATTGAGTATAAAAATATTTGGCTATCAAGGTACTGTAAAATGAACAGGTACTGTAAAAGGAATAGGTTCTGTAAAAGGAATAACCTATTTCATTAAATTTTAAATATTGTGTGTATATAAATACGATTACTTTTATAATATAAATTGAATGTCCATATTGAATGTTTAAATAATTGTTTAGTTTTTCAAATAAAATAATTATAAAACGAACATCTATAAACGAGAGCTTTCGTAATTTTACTTTTACAAAAAAATAAATATATGACGTATTTTGGCGTGCTTGTTAATATATGAAAAACATGAAAAAAATAGTGCACGCTTACCGTGCATTATCATTACCCAGTTTATTTAATTTTTACCTACCTACGCGGGTCAGAAACGCTTCATTCATACGCAAATTCGTGGCGAATTATACAAAGTTACGTCTTACTCTTACGTGATTTAACAGCTGATGAAAATTATTTTTAAATATAGAAAACATTTTCAAAGATATTTTTCTTCAATGCTTATAAATGATCCTAAATATAGCTGGCTAAGTGATTTAGATATAAAGGAGGAAAATTATGGCGGATTTAGTGGTAAATGGCTTGCTCATGGTCAGGTATATATGTTATATTATAATATATATTTATATGGTACAGAAAGTCATATCTTTTTGTCCATTCAATGGCAAACCAATTGCGAGTACTATTGAAGTAAAGTTTAAATTTATATATGGAATAATAATTATTTTGAAAGACCACAATTGATGATTATAATCAAATTGTTGATTCATGTTATAATGCTGGAAAAATATGGAGTAAGGTTTAATTATATTTACGGAATTATTTTCAATTGTTATATCTTAAAGTTACCAGCTCCAATTCGTGGTGATATAATTAGACAAATAGGTAATGCCTTACGTTTAAAAAAAGATTACTTAGGAAATCTTGTAAATTTTTAAAGAAAAGTTTGGTATAATATACTTAATTAGATAACCTTAGAAATGGGAAAAATAAAAACTGAAAGTTTAGGTGAGGTTCAAGAATTTATTGATATTTGTGATTATGCAGTTGGCCTTAGCCGCATGCTCAATGGAAAAATAATTCCATCAGAAAGTAATATAATATATTTTTATATATTATATTTTTATATATTATAACTTTATATACATATATATCTTCTTATTTATTATTTTAACATAACTAATAAATTTAATCATTTTTTATTGATTAAATTTTAAAAAATAAAAAATAATCAGCTGATTATTTATAAGGTTTACCATTTTTTCAACTTTATAGGAAAGAATTTTTAACTTAACTGTTGTATTTCCATTATGAAAAGATGTATAATTAATTTTTTATTTAAATCTTATAATTTAATTCGCTTTTATAAAAAAATATTTGATATATAAATATATATACAAAAATCAGCCTTTACAATCTCAAGGGGCTCAAAAAATTTTTTTAAAATTATTTTCAAAATTACTTTTCTTTTTTTAAGCTAACATTATCCAAAATTACCTTTTTTTTAATGGTATAAAAAAAATTCAAAATTTTGAGGGGGATCTTCTTTTTCAGGAAGCTTGAGCCCCTGTATTCCCTCCCCCCCCCTCACTTAGTGCCCATACTGACAAAAATATATAATATAATAAGTAAATGGAAAATTATAGGGAAAAGGTATTACATAGCAGGTAAAACTCCCATTGCAAATTTCAATTAGAACATCTGCTTCAATTGATACAATTTTACTTCATAAAAAATTTTATTTACTAACAATTAGATTTCCTGACATATATGCCATAAGAGCAAGCAATATATTTTCTCATGAGATAATATTGGTATATTTTTTTTATCATTCACTGAAGTTAATTTTAAAGGTTTTCCACTTATTCATATTAAAAAGAAATATTAGCAATTTATTTCTAAATTGAAACCGTTTAAATAAAAAAAATTATGATAAATTATTTTTATGGTGAATACTAAATATAATAAAATTAATTTAAAAAAGGAACAATAAAAAATTTTTAAAACAAACTAAAAAAAATTTTTGTAAAGAAAGATTAAAAAAAACTTCAAAATAAAAACTTTTATTATCTCTTAGGTCTGCCAGCATTGAACTGTGAATCAAGATCAGGTTAGATTTGCATATAGCTATGGATATTTGTTGCTTAAGATAAAAGCAACTGGGATCTCCCATTTTTGATGGACTTTACTATAACAAATTGATATTTAATATTGAAACAAAAATAATTTGGAATATATAATATAATTTACCAACAATTTTTATAAAAGGAAATTTTAAAATCAATAAATAATATAATATTATTCTACATTCCTTAATGTTACGATCTACAATTTAAAATTTTTTCAAAAATGTTTTTGATGATGAAATTAGTTCTCTGTCTTTTGCCACCTGCTGAGTTGAGCCGTAATTACTTAATTAAGAATCTTATTTAATTTATTAATTTTTGTATTTCGGATACAGGGTTGTCAGGTCTTCCCCCATCAGCGGGTTACTCCCACAATTTTTTTTAGTCAACACGTTCCATACGCAATATTAAATCTCTCCTGCAATTTCAAAATTTCTCCCACATTAAAATTTTCAGCATTTTAGCGTTTTTAATTGATAAAATAATATTTTTAAGAAACAGTCGGAAAATAAAGATCGTTTGTTTTTGTATAAAATTAAATTGCAGAGATGTAGAAATTTAAACATAAGAATAAAATATTCCTATTTAGAAAAATATTATAAAACAATTGATTTTGTTAGATACGGATAAAGTAAAAATTATAGTAAATGGGGGAAGCCAGAATGGCAATTTCATTAAATTTCTCCCTCTAAAACAAATTTTGGATAAATTTATTTTACAATTTGAAAACTTCGACCTGGCAACTATAGTCGGATGCTCTTCTTCGAATTTGCAGTGGGGACGATGGTAATCATTCATCGACTGCAGTTTACACAAATTGCAAGTGAAAGGAAATACAGTTGGACATTCTAAGTTTTAGTCTAAAACTATGCGCAATTCATCTGCACTTAGGTGAAATCTTAAATTCATGCTAGTTTCTAATTGTTTTGATTATCATCCTTTTTTTTTCGGCATATAGATTTTTTATGTTAATATATATCAGTGACGAAACGTGAAGTTTACTACTAAAGAAATTTATTTTTATTTTCAAAACCATACAAAATATTAAGATTTATAAATGAGCAGAATACTTTTTTGTTTTTGAGTAAAATTCTTAAGAACTAAAATGGTTAGATTTTGAACTTTTTAATAATTTTTTTTCATTGAGATATATTTAATAATCGATAAAATATTCTTTAAAATCCCAAGTCTGAAGTTGCGATTGTTAAAGCCATGAAAAATTTTGATTTCTTTTTCAAGTTTTGTAAAGTTGGTGTTGGTCCTTTTTCAAATCAATTTCTTCATAGTTTATATCAAAATTTTTTAAGCTAAACAATTAAAATTGTTTTACCTAACGCTTATTTTTTAAACGTTAACTTACACAAAACATTCGCTTGATTTTCTCCTTTTTATTAAAAAAATTTCGAATGAAAGTCAAGTTTTGATTGATTTAAATATAATTCATTATAGAAATAATGTGTTTTCAATCTTTGTTATTTTAAATCTTTTTCATTAAAATTAAATAAATCCTTGGGTATAATAATAATCGGTAAGTGACTACTTTATAAAAATAGAAATTGACAGACGCTAGTCACTTATCTGTTAAATTTAATGATCTAGTCAATAATGGCATGGATCTTTTATTGATAATAAAGAAATATCAGACTTGTTAATCGATCCTTTTAAAAAGAACGAATCCCATCACGATCATTTCAAAAAAGAGGATCGAAATCCAGGATCGACCTTTTTTTTAAAAAAGGATCGCGATCATGATCCTCTTCTTATTTAAATTTCTGAAGGAAATTTTAGATCGATGTAAAATTAACTAATATAAAAATAAATTAAGTATGGTATAAATTTAGTGTAATTGAATAATATAATATAATTATAACAATGAGAATATATTTATTTATAATTAAAATTAGCCTTTAATAATAAAAATTTTTCAAAGTTATTATCATTTAATCATCAAAGTCTTTCATTAAGCACATGTATAGCTTTACCAAACAAGCGCTCCTAGAGCGCTTGATGGCAAAGGTATTATATTCAATAAATATATTTTTAAAATTAACATAAATATTAAAAATATTCATTGAATCATCATTTGAATAAAAAAATTTATTAAGGGAACTAGCATTTTGTGAAGAATTTTTCCCAAAAAAGTATCTATTTCATCCATACATTCATTTGAAGCATCTATATGTGGTTGATCCTGCATATTTTCCAAATGGGCAATTAACTTTTCTTTTACCAACAGATTTTGTGCCAAATTAATATAAGGCCTTTTAGCTTAATTTTTGGGCGAATTATTGCTGCCAATATGTTATCATACAGTGAAAGAAATCTATATTAAGAAATGATAATTAATTTATAATACATCAATAGATGATGTATTCTTCTAAATCTATAATGGAGGACATTATTAAAACTAGGAAATATAAAATATGGTGGAATGGAAGTTGATAAAATATGATGTTGATAGATATTTTTTTAAAAATTAATATTTTTATTTATTGCTTTTTAAGTAAAAAATTAATTTTCAAAAGGATCGGGATCGAATATTCAAAAAAATGATCTCGATCACGATCCTTAATTTAAGTCAGGAATAAATCCGGGATGACAAATTTAGGATAGAATCCAGGATCGGCGATCTTTTGATTCTATCCTTTAACAACTCTGAGTAATATTTACTGACTGTTAAAATCCTTTGATCTAAAATTTATGCAAATTTAAAGACTAAATACAGCTCAGTTTTTTTTAAAATAATGGGAGAACTTTTATATCTTCAGATATTATATTAGCATGGAAAATGATTGAAGATGTCAAGTCTTCCAGGATTATTTTAATAAATCATTATTAATTATTATTAACTAAAACCAAAATTACCATTAAAAAATTATTTACTCGGTAAATATTAAAAAGAAAATAATGTATACACTTCTAGTATCTTCCTGTATATGTGGTTTACCCTTCAAAAACTGGATATTCCATTATAAAAGAGAAATTTAATTTTTTTAAAAATATAAACGTGAAAAAAGCAAAAAATAAAAAAATGTCACGTTAGATAATCAATATTTATATTTGGGGTAAAAATATTTCCGGGGAAATTTTAAGAGTTTCCAACTTATTTAGAGTAGCATTATCGGGCCTTTTACGATCAATGATAGAAAGGTGGGGAAGGGGGGGGTCAATTTTGAAAGAATGACATTCACTCTTTTAATTGAGCCAGACTAATTGCGACCCAGGATATCGAATTCCGAACTGCAAGATGAAACGCAGGCCGATGAGGACTTTAAATTCTCTGTTAGAACGCAAGAGCATGCGAACTACTGCATTTTATAAGTTTGAGAAGTTCTTAATAGTTATAGATCAGCTGCATCTGTGGATGAGGTCAAATGGTTATTTTTTTATGATAAGGCTGAATAGAAAAGCTTCGGGGAAGTACAAAATCATTTTAATTATTAAATTTAGCAATCAATTAGAATCTATGCGAAATATTGTAAAATGAGGATGATAAAAAAAAATATTTAAAGAAAAAAACTGATAATTATTTATAAACAAACAGTAAAAGAAAATGATTTTTAAATCAAATTGATTTAACCATGCCAATCCAGTTACAATATTTTTATCCGCAAATAAAACTGCTGCAACTAGGCTATCATTTTTTATTTATTTTTTGGCTTTTTTTAAAAAAAGGCCTCATGGCCATCGAATATCCCACTTTTTTGAGTGTATCTTTTTAATTCTTCTTAGTTTTTGTTATTTAACTTGAATAACCCTCGCACACTTTTAATAATAAAAATTATCTATTTAGAAAGTTTAAGTTTAAATAATATTCATCAGCTATCTTTTATAATGAATCAAACTTGATAATATTCATCAGGTATTTTAATAATTCTTATAAAATGTTTTATTTATATTTTCAATTTAGTTCAAAATAATTTAGTCAGGCTAAAATAATATTTATTAGCTACCTTTTATATTGAGATCAAACTTCTATAACAGATACTTTTACATCGCCCTTTACCGATGACCATATTACCTTCCTCCCCTCCCAATAGCTCCTTATGAATAAAAGGAATAAATTAGAATTAGCAATAAAATAGAATTAGTAATAAAATCCACGAGATGTGTCTGTTCTATACAGGTATTTTAATAATTAGCATAAATTTAATACTCTATTTATACCTTCAATTTAGTTCAAAAAATTCAATTTTATAATTCAGTTGCTTGTAAAACCTCCTAAGTTACTGATGATTTTACCCTCTCGCATTGAAATAATTTACATCCATAATTGAAATACAAACTTCCATTGGAAGTTGTTTTTAAATAATTGATATAAGATAGTTATATCCATTGTCAATGCCTCATAAAATAAAGAAATTGCCTTACTTCAAAGATAATTTTTTTGTTTTTTGCTAATTATTCAAAATTAAAAATCAGATTTTAGCTAGTGCTATAAACGTTACTTCAAAAAAACTCGTCACGTTTGAATAAGGATCACCTTACCGTTGCTCATGAAAAAGTAACGCATTATTCGCTAAATGATCTTCTGAAGAAATAAAATTATTGACATATCTTCTTTATAAAAGAAATGATAATATAAAAATCATACCTTGATTCAGGCACGTACGCATCTGCACCCCCCCCCCCCAAGCCAGAAGATTTAGATGGCAGCCTAATCTTTTTAAAAAAATATACTGTTTTATGATTATTAATTATATTTTATAATAATCATTCTAACTTCTTATCGCATATATATTCCAATTTGCATTAATTTATGATTTTCACAGCAGAAATAAATATGCTACTAATTTTTTTTATGAATTAATATCGATTTCAAATTTTCCTTGACGTTATATTTATCTACCATTTTAAAATTTCCCATCAAATCATTTGAAATTTTTCACTTCAAAACTAAAGTAAAAATTTAAAAAAAATGGCAATGATTTAATTGGGACTATGAGAATACCTGAAAGCATTATATTGGAACTTAAGGAAATTAGGGTAGATGTAGCAGTTGTTAAAGTAGCGCGTTAACTTTTTTGGTAGCTATAGCTAATAGCGGCTACTTTTTTTGTAATTATTTAATTTTTTATCGCGCTACTTTTTTTGAAAGTAGCTAAGTAGCCACTACTTCGCTACTTTTAAAAAATATTATGAAGGTAAGTATAAACATGAAAATTTAAATATAATATCATAATTAATTATAATTTTTATTATTTATTATTTAATTTTGATAAAATATAATTTCAATATTGTAATTTATATTTTCATTTGTATTATAAACCTAAATCACGTGTTAATAATTTAAAATGTCATCGCCTATGGATATCCAAATCGTTGAAAGTGATTCAGATAATGATATTATTGACATGGAAGATACCAAGGGAAGAAAATGTTCTTAATAGCTATAATACAAATTTCTCATTCCCTAGATTTGAATTTTTTTTAAAATAAATATATAACCAAAACTGGTTTCAAATTTATTTGTTTAAAATGTAAAAAAAAATATTTCCCCAAATCAATCCAGTAACTATAACCTCAAGAAACACCTAATAAAGGTAAATTGTAATTTTTACATTCTAATAATATTTATTTTATAAGACTGTTCATGGTTTTAAGGAAATGGAGAAACATCTAAATAATTTTGGTATAGGCCACTCTACATCCAAAAAAACTAATTCAATTCAAACCAAATTAATTAATAATGCAAATGACAATATTTCTCAGAAATTGGCTGATAAAGTTATTGTTGATTTTATAATTTATACAGTTCAACCAATGTCCTTAGTTGATAATCCATCATTTACCATGATGATTAAAACTCTATCCCCCTGGTATAACAATTTAATGGCGCCAGACACTAATGAATAAAATAACATAACTTTAAAATGATGAAAGATGATCTAATAGTAGAGTTATCAGAGATATCATATATATGTACCACGGGAGATAGTTGAACACATAACAGAAGGTAAAAACTTATTTATATTTATAAATTGATCTGATTAAATATTTTTGAGCTTATTTGGGAATCACAGGCCATTGACTAGACTCTACAACCTTAAAAAGAAGATCTGTGGCATTAGCCCTCAAATGATAATAGGATGCCAGACATACGATGTACTTGCAAATAAAATTATTGATAATCTATCTTATATTAAAAATATGTGTATAAGATTAAATACGCCCTTACCCTCAAGTGCTAGTGTCGAGAGATTATTTAGGCAAAACTTATACTTTTTGATCGTCGCTCTAGACTTGGGAATGATAATATTGATATGATTTTATTATTAAAATGCAACAAATTACCATAAATATTTATTTTTATTAATAAATTTTTTTATAATCAAAACTAACTATATTTTAATATTTATAAATGTTGATTTTTATATTTACTATACCATAACATTATAAGCAAAAAATAAAAAATTTGTTTGTAAATTTTTTTTATAAAAAGTAATAGCGAGCTACTTTTTTTGACAAATGGCGATAGCGGTAGCGCGCTACTTTTAAAAGTAGCGTTTAACAACTCTGAGATGTAGATGACGAATTTCATAAAGTATATATCATTGTTAAGTTAAAAGCAGAGCATTTAGAATTTAATATTTGTTTACCTCGAATCGCATATTAATATAGGGCCTGTCACAAAATATTTTAAAATAAATTATCTTTACCCCCCTCTTGGATACTTTTATAACTTAAATGGATATTCTCGATTAATCAAGCAGTACTTTCAAATCTGCAAATATTATTACCGCTAAATTCTTCCGAATGTATTTTAGATCGAAAATTTAATATTTAACAAGCCTAGACTTGGCTAATACATGCATAGACTGTGCCATCTATGAGCAAAATTTCCATTTCCCTATCATCTATTAATATTTATTTTAAATTTACTTAAAAAATTTTTTAAAAAAATACCTGAAAAATGCCTCTAAAATCGCTTTGAAAAAGTGTTTTGCTTAGAAACGGCCTTACATTTTTTATAAAATTTAAAAAATATATATCATATAATTAAATAATTTCCATATTTTTAAAAATTAACTTACTACGTTACAACGAATGGCATTCTTTCCTCAAGCGAATAACGCCGTTACTTTCAGAACTCTATTTTACCTTATGAAAATTAAAAACCAAATCAAAATTAGCAAAAAACGCATTCCCCTGAAAATTTTAATTTCATTCCTTTCATGACACTGCTCAGCTACGCCTATCGGACTGACGACACCTAACTTCGGTTTCGTCACCTATCAAGCTGTCATTGGATACCGGGAGGACAACATCTACCGGGCTGGCAATATCTTCCGGGCTAGTGACACCTCTCAAGCAGATCACGTCGTATAGGCTGACGTGGTCTACCTGTATTGACGACTCCTACCAGGTTGATAACGTCTTTGACGACTCTAGTTAAATGTCTTGTCACCTAGAATATAATTTGATTGTTTGAAGGCGAGGGGAGAAAATCGGGCTGGGTATGAATATCCTACTATTTCGTAAAACATAGGTATCATTATTTTTTCCTAAAAATAGATTGACTGATAAAATAGCGAGTCGACCCGAAATCCTAATCGGTCCTAAACTGTTTAATAAATTTTGTGCCAGACTCGGGACTAATATTTAAAAACAAAAATGGGTCAGACTCGGGCATAAATAAAATCTGAAAAATAAAATAAGAAAATACTTTATAAAAATGCATTTAATATATATTTTTGAATCAAAAATCACAGGCTGAACTCAGCCTAAATATAAATAAAAAATTCGTGCAGGGCTTGGGCCTAAAAAAAATTAAAATATTTGGGCTTACAGGATTCTATAAATAAAAACAAATCATTTCTAAATATAACAAATGACAATTTTCATATTTTTGCTTTTCAATTTTGTTCCAGTTCCCTAATTTATACATAACTTTATTTTTAAATTGAAAAGGAGCTATTTATAAGGTTTGAGGAATGACTTTATTCTATTTTTTGTATAAATTTTTATAATATACTATATACATTTATATTATGCATTAGTACAGGCCTGGCAAAAAGATTTTATTGCAAAATATTTTATTTTTACAGGCCGAATTTTTTCTAAAAATACTATAAGCCTCATCGACTTTTAATATACATCCCTTAAATATATATATATTTAAAAATTATCACAAAGGACCCAATCATACAATACTAGAAACATGGAACCCACTGGGTTGTATTGGAATAATATCGGCCTTCAATTTTCCTATGGCAGTATATGGTTGGAATGCCGCTATAGCCTTAGTCTGTGGTAACTCGATGGTTTGGAAAGGATCCCCAACTACTAATTTAGTGTCGATAGCCACCATAAAGATTATATCTAAGATTCTCGAAAAAAATAATCTTCCTCCTCAAATTTGTGGTTTGGTCTCTGGAGGAGCCGATATAGGGTGAGTTGTTGCAGTTATAGTCATCAGAGCTGTTACAGTATCTAGATGTGGAATCTGTATCTTGATATATACTTTTATAAAAATATCTATATCTAGTTACTATTTTAGAGGTATCTGTATCTATTTTTAGATATATTTAGATATTATATTTTACGTTTTTTGTATTAGCAATAATATTTGAATTAAAATCATTAATAGTTTGTCCGAGTTTATTTCACAAAAACAATCCAGACAAATTTTATTTTACGCACGGTAAATTATATATTGTAATTTATTTATATTAATTTAAAAAATATATATCATAATTTTTAGATCAAGATTACTAGACAATCTCTGAAAAGAAATCAATTAACTTTATATTAGATTTTTTGTGTACCCCTTAGATATAAATTAAATATTGATACAAAGTTGACAATCATCAAATTTTGAAATTTTTTTTTTAAAATGAGTGTCGGGATTTTAATATATGTAATGATTACAATGTCAGATAAACGGGGATGTCTTAATGGTAAAAATTCTGAGAATGCTTTATTATTAAAGCCTAATAATTATTTATAATAATTTAATTATATATTTTGTATATGAATTATTAAAATCTTGTATGTAGATGTGATATCAGCTCAATAATTTTTTTAATTCACTTCGAAATTTGAATTTTAACAATAGAATCCTAAATAAAGCATTATGCAAATTTGTATTTGTATCTAGACGCATTTTTAAAAATATGTCTGTATCTAGATACGTTTTTAGGCGATGTATCTGTATCTAGATCTATTTTTAGACGATTTATCTATATATTTAGATCTTTTTGAAGAATATTTAAACAATGAATCATTAAATAAAGTCATAAATGTAATTTCCCTATAATAAAATACCTGATTTTTTTTAAAGTTATGCTATAGCCCAAGATGAAAAATTGTCACTCGTTTCCTTCACTGGCAGTACAAACAGTGGCAAGAAGGTAGGCTTAGCTGTTCAAGAAAGATTTGGAAAAACGATCTTAGAATTAGGCGGGAATAATGCCATAATAGGTATTTTAATTTCGTTATTTATATTTTTTATTACAATCTCATTATAAATATTAAGAGTGTTAGAGACAGTCTCGACTTTTTTCCTTCATGTTGCGTTTAAAAGGTATTCTATATTTTTTGTATAAGCATTCTATAATGGTTTTGTGCGTTCAGATTATGTAAATAAACTTATATGTACTATAATTATAATATTATAAAGCGCAATGAAATTTTTACTATTGGCATTAGATTATCTAAAAATCATAAAACTATTAATAGACATTTACATATGTCAAAAATTAGAGCAGGTGCTTAAGCAGGAAGTATCTGAAGTGGGACAAATCGTAGTCATTATTAAACATCTAAATTTTTATATTTATTAGGGCTAGGCACTATAAAAAATTGACAATTTCTAATATACCATAGCCTGTAAAATTATCAAATATTATAATTTATAAATATAAATTTACTCACAAAAATTATGTTGTAAAATATTAAATGTATATAACCGACTTAAACCCGAGGTGAAGATAGGTTTTGGCGGAAAACTCGATTTTGCCATTTTTGTAATCGGTTAAAACGGCGAAAAATGGTACTAGCTGAGTTTATTTTATACAATGATATGAATTTTTTGATAATTTAATATGTAAATGTCGTATTGGGATATGAAATTCACATAGATTCGGAATCTCTTTTTTAAATCATTTATTCAGGGGGATTTTGAAATTTAAACTATCGGATTTGATCGTAATATGTTGACATGTGGAGATACACTAAGGTTGGCCAAAAAAGGAATTTAACCATCGATATTTTTGATAAAATTTTTTATATAAAAATATTTAATTGTAGTAATAATTATTACTTATTAGATAAAAAAAATTTACTTAATTTATTTTGATTTTAATTCCTTCAATTTTTGACACAATATATAAAATAGTTGTTAATTGTATACTTTTAATCTTAATGTAGTGAGAAATTATTTATTATTCTAATGATAAAAACTACTATTAAACCTAACATTTTTGTAATTTTTTATACGTTGTTAATGTAGTACTATTTGTTTTTCTTTACCATAAAAAATAATTCATTTCTATTAAAAAATCATCTTAATAATTAGTGATACAAAATCGCTTCATCGATTTTTAAAAATAGCTAACTCAATATTTTAACCAGTATTGCCTAATCGAGATTTAAATAGATGTCTAAACTTTTGTGCCATCTATTAGCAGTCTTCAAAATTGCATGATAAAATACTGAGTTAGACGTTTTTATAAATTGGCTCAAATCGAGCGATTTTGAATCACTATTAAAAATAATAGATTAACAATCATAATCATTGGTATTTGAATTTAATGTTTAAAAGAAAACTAATTTTTTTTAAACAAGTTTAGTACATTCCAAAAGATGAAAATATTCTCTCTACTGACTTTTGAATGTTTTACTATGATTCTATCCTAAATTAAATGATCCTGCTATCCATCATTCAATTTTTTAACTTTATTATTTATTATTTCACCTGAAAACATAATTTTATTAAACGGATCCTTTGTAGCTTGGATTTACCATGATAGATAAGAGATTATTGTTATGATATAAAATTAGCCAGGTTTCACCAATTCGATCTCATTGTTTGTTGTTAAATTTGAATTGGGGTTAGAAAATAGGATAAGAAATGTGTCGGTGAAAGTATTATAATAATTTCGATTTTCACGATGGTGGATTACAAAAACAACCATATAATAATTAAAATAAACTAATCTAGATATAATTACATCTTTTTTAAAATTTTCTCAAATAACAAAACATTTTAAAAATCATAAGATTGCTTACTTGATTTGTGTAAATATAAAATAGGAATACTTCAAAAGTTCTCGGGGAAATTGTCTGTAATTCACAATGTTGGTAATTTATACATGCCAAAATTAATCCCCTATCAAATTCATTTTAAATTTAAAAATTTCCATCAGTAATTTTTTTAAAATTGAGAGATTCTGAATCCCCATTAGTTTCATATCTCAATAACGATATATAAAAATTTATAAGAATTATCGATTATAAAATATGGTCCAATATTATAAAAATTTACACAGTGAAAATATAGATAAATACATAAATTTATTCTTTAGAAATATTTCGATATAGAATGCATCTTCTTTGTGATTCTAATTTTTCACTGATCTCATCAGTATTTGGTGTCAAATTCCTACGTATATATTTAGAAAACCTAACGTGCAAGTGCATCGACAAAACTATCAGCGGTTGATGAGGGTTTTAAAAATGAAATCGACGGCAGGAGGCGCGTCGCCTTTTAGCCTTTTTTCTTGGATGACGGGGGTACACCAATATAAAATTTGTTGCTAATTAAATTTAAAAATAAGCTAAATAAGACAAAATTATAAATTCAAAATTGTAATTTATAGTTTAATAATAATTTTACCCAAATTTTCCAAATAAAGATGATCCTGAGTTAAGGTCAATCCAACTAGAAAAAATAATCTTTATTAGGTATGCTAGTTGCTGTTGGAACACGGAATTTTTTTTGGTATTGGAATTTCGATCCTCTTTTCTTTTCAATAATTTAAAACAATCCTTTAATAGCATTTTGAAAAAAATATGGCATTCTCGTTTTAAGTCACTTAGTGGAATATTTGGACTTGTTATACAATGTTTTTTCCAGTCTTATCAAATCATATGAGATTTTTAATAATAAATTCCGACGATATGCAATTTTTCTTTATCTTATATTTTGACTTTAATTTTCGAAATCTTGGATCTAAACAACTAGACAGAGGCGGCGATTTATAAAAATGTCTATGGGGACTGAATTTTTTTTGAAGATACATTCAAAACTTAAAAAAAACTTAAACAAATGTTAAATAATTGTAAAAAAAACTTATAATTTTAATTTTATAAAATTCTCATTTTTTATTTTACTTAATAAGTGACTTGATAATATAAAATATATTTTTTTTGTGAATGATATGATATAATGAATGTTAATATTTTTAAAGGTAAAATGTTCTTATTTGATATTTTATAAAAATATTCACTATTACATTTAAATCAAGTTCTAAAGGTGACATACATTTATATGCCCCATTAACAAAACTAGAGTTTGGTTTAAAGCAGGAGTGTGTATCGCCATTTTTCTTTAACCACTTTTTAAATAGCATAATATAAACCATAAAGATAGGGGAAGAAAGAGATAGAATCACTGGGGATACTAATAATTGGCCTTCGCTGATGATTTATACCTTATTTTTGAATCGATCGAGAATCCACAGAATCTAGCTAACAAGGTTCATATAGAAAGGAAGCTTGGACTAGATATTAAATACTGAAAAAACTAAGATAATAGTTATTTAAGTTTCGCTTTAAAAGTATAATGCTAAATTTTATAATTCAATTCGTTTACAAATAAAATTTTTATATCATTGCTTGATTTCATCAAAAACACATAAAGTTAGGGTTAAGATTATATTTAAAAAAAGTGGGCCATAAATGTTGCCATGAATAATTTTAAAAGGGGCTATTTACCGACTTATCCCAATGGCATGATTTTAACAAATATAAATAATTTTTCATAAATCCCATATCTCTTGGTAACAAACTATTTGTAATAAACAGTATTAGAAGATGCGGATCTTGAACTAGCTGTTCCCTCCATTTTATTTGCAGGCGTTGGAACTTCAGGCCAGAGATGTACCACAGTTAGAAGATTATTCATCCATTCCGATGTTTATGACCAAACATTAAAAAGACTCGTATCAGCTTATACTCAAATTTCAAAGAGAGTTGGTCGAAGTGCTGAAGATTATCTCGATGTTTCAATCGGCGCTAACGTTTTGTACAGTCCATTGCATTGCGAAAAGTCAGTCCAATTATACGAGCAAGCGATTGAGGCCATTAAACAAGCCGGAGGTCATGTGGAGTATGGTGGTCGAGTAAATAATAAACTTTAAAATTAGGCTCATATAACATGTAATCCTTTTCTTATTTGTTACCTTAAAACTTGGCTATGCGATTTTTCATTAAATATTTATATTTTTAATTACCATTAATAATATTTACTAATGTGAAACTAAAGGTTATGAAAGAATTGCCGGGGTTTTTCGTCGAACCTACAATTATCTCGGGACTAAACCCGGATTGTGAATTAGTGCAGAAAGAAACATTTGTACCCATTCTTTACGTCATCAAAATAAATGTATATACCAAATATTTTCCTTCATTTAAACTATCTGTAGTTTTTACTTTTGTTATGGATATAGGAAGGAAGGATGGAAAAGAAATAATATATAGAGAAAGAAATATATAACTTTTAATCCCCTATTTTAAATTATTTCACAAAAACAGAATTTAGCGGAAGGAATTATTTATAACAACAAAGTAAAGCAAGGGTTATCTAGCAGCCTCTTTACTAAAAACCTTAAAAATCTGTTCCAATGGATCGGGTAATCCATTATATTATAATATTTTAAAACTTTGTTAATAAAATACCTTATATGCAATATAATAAAATAAAAATTAGCATGATATATTTTTTTGAATTTCAAGCTAATATTTTGATCTTGATTTATACTATTTGAAAATAAATATTTCTTTGCATTTTAAGGGCTGTCTAACTAAAATAATATAGTAAATTCACAAAAAATTAGTCTTTTATGATATGATCCAATTACAAATATACAGTATAAAAATGTCTAAGGGGATCGAATTTTTTAGATATCCTCAAAACTTGGAAAAAATTAAATTTTAATTAATTATTAAAAAAATAGCAAAAAAGCTTTGTAATTTTAATTTTGTATAAAATTTTATTTTTTATTTCCCTTAGAGTTTTTTATAATATAAAATAATTAAATTATATTTTGTGAATGATAAAATATAATAAATTTATATTATTTAAGGTAAAATGTGTTTCTTCTTATTTCCTTTCTATTTATAAAAATTTCATTATCACATTATACCAAGTTTTTTTTGCTTATTTATCCACAATTAAAATTGCGGTATGATTTGGTGATTCCTGTTTCATCGTAGAAAGTTGATAAGATTTAATACGGGTTATTCCTGAAAACGATCGTTCTGCAGAACAAACACTTACGGGAATTATTTATAACATTTAATAAATTTACTTTGAAAAAATCGAAATAATATTTTTACCTAGTTCTTTTAATATGGTTATGACGAAAATTTTTCTAACTTTAAATAGTCCAAAAGCAAATCTTTATTAAGAATTAGACTATTCATTTCAAAATCATCTTCATAAAATACTGAAACATGATTTCATCAAGTTTTTGGCGCAAATTACTAATTAAATGATCCATTACTGGTTAGTTTTAACGATTTTTATACTTGCAATTGTGTGATTTAAAGCATCATAATAAGTTTGTCTTTAATATTCATTAACTGGGTAGAAATGATGGTACAAATTCGAACCTTCTTCGTTAAAGGTGTTTTTTCTGTCGCTTTATTCATTTGCCTTTAAATTAACTTGACTCCAAAACATATCGAAACTATCATCTTGTCTTATTTCACTTAGAATTTTATAAACGAGGAATTCACAATGTGTTACTATTTTGTTCGAAAGCACCTTTTGCATTTTTTTTATAATTTTGCTATTGTAACTTTGTAAAAATATGATATAACTTATTTAAACTATTTTAATACATTTTAATTCTTTTTGTTATATATAAATAAATATATTTTAGTTTTATGCCTCATGGGATGATTTAAAACATTTTAGTTTTATTTATATTTTATCGTGTTACAATTTACATTTTTATTATTTTATCATTTAACTTCAATCTTGAATAAAAAACATTTTTTAAAATTTTATTTACGTTTAACTTAAAATGATTTATTATTTTTATATTGATTTATTTAAATTTTTTTCTCTTCCTAATGATGCCTCAAATTATGCTTTATCTTTATTATTTATTTCGGAAATCAAATTTTAAACCTTATATTTTTTGGCGCCATATCTTTAACGGTCAATAGCTGGAAAACGGTAATAGTACAAATAAAAGTGATATATAAAGAAGATATGTTTTTGAATTAAACAGTCATGTATTAGTGATATATTATTTATGATCCAGTGATATAGTGACATGTTATTATGTGAATTCAGATATATATATTTAAAATATGATTTTGATATTACTGAAATGCGAATAAATTCACAGAAAACATTACTTGATTTACATTCAAATTTATCCACTCAAATCATCACGAATTCTCTCTAAGCAACACTTTTATATTAAATAATTTAAGTAACATTTAGTTTTCCATTTGGTTACCAAGCATCTGTATATTGATTTATGTTCTTTGAAAACTCCCGGAATCGGTATTGTGCTGTGCACAGCTAAATCGAGCCTTAAGTCAAAAATTATATTCTTCTAAAAAATAAAAAATCCACTTGCGTTTCAAGACATGGCTGATTAACAAATAAAACCCAGCTCAGTAGCGTCACTAGAGGGGGCACAGGGGTTCGAGCAATTTGAAGAGCCCCTCAAAGTTTTGGCTTTTTTTTACCACTAAAAAATTAGCTAAAGAAAGGTAATTTTGAAAATAATTAAAAAATCTGATATTGTAAAGACTAGCGACCACAGACCCAGCTCGCATATAGTGCAACGAATTGGGTTTTAACTTATCATAAACATTATTTATTACATAATATAAACCCAATTCTCATATAAAAGCAATTAAATTGGGTTTTAGCCGATCGTTAACATATAAACCCAATTCGCATATAAAAGCAATTAACTGGATTGGGTTTTAGCCGATCGACAACATTATTTATTAAATTTATTTGCTTTAATCGAGGTCGTTTTTAAAAGAATTATATTTATAGAGTTTAATTTTATAAAAATATTTTATCACTATATGCCTGAAGAGAAAAATATAATATAAAAAAAATAATGTTTTATTTGAGATGGTGAGTAAAGTAATCATCTTGTTTTTTAAGAAAAGAAAATTCATAAAAAAAATTAAAAAGTGAGAAAATATCAATTATCACGTGCTTTTGAGAAAAGCCATATATTATTGCTTTAAATTTGGGGAAAAAGTAAACAAAATTTTCCTAATATCGAGGAAAAATTTTGACACTTTTTTTCACCCATTTATTTTATTCCCATTTTATAGTTAGTCTTTATTAAATATTTTTTTGAAATCTATGTAATATAATAATAAATTAAGATTTTTTTATGGGGACTGTGTCAGAGAGGAGAGACAAAGGAACATGGCAATACAAAAATTATATAATATTTAATTTTTTTCTCTTTGTTTCATTTTTAGATAAGATATAATAATTAATTAATTTTTTTATGGGGGACCAGCCAGAGATGAAAAGCGAAGGAGCATAGCAATATATAAATCTATATATATAATCACCGTAATCAAGAAATGAGCCTGAAGAGAAAAAATAATATAAAAAAAATAATGTTTTATTTGAGATGGTGAGTAAAGTAATCATCTTGTTTTTTTAGAAAAGAAAATTCATAAAAAAAATTAAAAAGTGAGAAAATATCAATTATCACGTGCTTTTGAGAAAAGCCATATATTATTGCTTTAAATTTGGGGAAAAAGTAAACAAAATTTTCCTAATATCGAGGAAAAATTTTGACACTTTTTTTCACCCATTTATTTTATTCCCCATTTTATAGTTAGTCTTTATTAAATATTTTTTTTTAAATCTATGTAATATAACAATAAATTAAGATTTTTTTATGCGGACTGTGTCAGAGAGGAGAGACAAAGGAACATGGCAATACAAAAATTATATAATATTTAATTTTTTTCTCTCTGTTTCATTTTTAGATAAGATATAATAATTAATTAATTTTTTATGGGGGACCAGCCAGAGATGAAAAGCGAAGGAGCATAGCAATATACAAATCTATATATATAATCACCGTAATCAAGAAATGAACGTTTTCGTATATCCTTAATGTTAATTTTTATTTTTCTTATCAACTTTCCTATCTTCTTAATGTTAATTTTTATTTTCCCTATCAATTTTACTATCGTCCTAATGTTAAATAAATCGATGGAGACTTATCTCTCTAATGTTAAATTTTTATAAAATTTTTTGTATATAACGGGATTCGAACCCATGACTTAACGTTTTAAAGGCAAACGTTTTTCCCACTCATTAAATTTTGTAATATAATCTTTCTTATATATGTTATTGTTATGCAATTTTATTTTTATTGGCTTATTAATCTTTATTTTTATTGGCTTATTAAGCTCTTATTTTATTGGTTTATAGTTATTTATATTATTTAATTTTAAAATCAACCATTTTTTATTTTAATTAAAAAAATCGTAACAAAATGATTACAACAGGACATACCTGTACATCTTCCAAAGGCCCCAAAATATAGGAGACAGTAATTAAAAAGATGTTTTAATTTTTATAGATTTTATTACAGAATAAATCACCATCAGGTTGGCACAAGATTTAAATCATGTTTGAGCTTACCTCTGGTTATCAGAAAATAATTTTAAAGTCTCATGACCCATACTCAATCTGCATTTCACATGTTGATATTAATAACGAAATGATTACAACAGGACATAATAGTATATCTGCCAAAGGCCCCAGCATGATTAACTAAGCAAATTTTATTTATTTATTTGAGATTCTTAAGATACAGAATATTTAAAAATATAGGTAGATATTGAGTATTGTATGTCATTTCCAGAGTTCAAATATTGTTTGAGATAAAATTTTTATACTGGCATATTTTGGGCTGGTAATATGAGATAAATGTTTATTTTTCAATTGGCTAAATATAATTTAAATTTATTTGTTAAATCTAATTTATAATAAGTACTTAGGATTAGTGAGGAAGGTTAATTTTCTGGCATGGGAAGATATTGATAAATAGGTATTTTCTATTTGCAAAGTTCCCATATTGTGGTTGAGATAAAAAAAATTTTTACTACCATATTTTGCGATAGTGAACGTATATTTTTCATAAAATCTTTATGTAAAGGAGTTAATGTTTTACAGCGGCTTTTGATCAGGTTATCCTGGCTATTGCCGATACCTTAATTACTACCAGATTTTTCTATATAGATGCTCCTGGTGGATCAGGTAAGACGACATATCTTTATAATACTTTACTACACTATCTTAGAGGACAACAAAAAAATGTCATACCCTTTGCTACCACAGGAGTATCCTCCATACTTATAACCTGTGTAGATTGTCCTGGGTTACAACGATTTTAATCTTCCATCTCCTGACCCTATCACTCAATCTAATTTATATGACCCAATAATAGAAGCAGATGTCGCAATGGTAATGTTAGCCAATCTAAATGTTTTACAGCGACATGCATTTGATCAGGTTATCCAGGCTATTAACGATACCTCAATTACTACAAGCTATTTTTATATAGATAATGGAAAAAAGAAATACTTTCAATCTCCTTATTTAATGGAATTTACTTCCAAATTTTAAAAAATTCACTGAATGTTCTCAAAAAATTTTTTCCTGTAATAGTTCATGATTTTTTTATTCCCGTCATTCTTGATGGGTTATCAACTAGTAATATTATAATTTGTTGTAAGTAACGTCGATGAAAGAAAAAGCGTTACTTTTTTGAGGGAAAGGAACCATCTTTTTTTTTTGAATAATGGCAACTGAAAATGTTACTCGTTACTTTAAAGTTTTTCTTAAAAAATATGAAAAAATTTTTTTATTATATTTTTATTTTATAAATAATTTAAGCCGAGTTTTTAATTCAGATCAGTCACCAAAGTTCTTCATTTTTATAATTATTACATTTTTGTTTAATTAAAAATATCGATTATTTGTGTTCCCAAAAAGGAGCCGTAGTTATGTCGTCGGAATTTTTCGAGTTAAATAATTTGTCTGATAAAAACCAATTTCCTAGCCTCTTTTGTGAAATGTCCGATATTGAGGCCTAGGGTTTTAAAAAATTTTTAAGTTTTTGGTACAAAGTGGCGGTTATGGAGATTACTATTAGGGTAAATATAAAATGGGCATTTTGTATTTTAAATTTTCTTTGATTTGGCTTGTTAATAAGTTTATGTTTATGTTGGAAATAATGAGGGCCCTGTCTGTCTTTCGAATCTATGGAGTATTACATTTGAGCTAGGTGATGTCACACTCTAGGCTTAAACCAATGGCGATTCATTTTTCATCTGGTAAGAGATTATCAAGGTACGACTAGGGAGGGCTTATAACCATTCGTGATCACGTAATCTGTCTTTTAATTGGAGAAGTTGGATACTATAATTTCATTCTTGATATGATGATTGGAAGGGTGTGAAAAGGTTTTGTGGATGATTATTGATGGGAAGGAATGTGTGAGACTGTATTGATCTATTTCTTGTATCATCCAATAAATATTCAAAGGAGAATAGGAAGCCTGTGACTATAGAGCTGGATGATAAAAGAGATGATAAAGTTAAATGGAACCAAGTTTAAACTACCCTTAACAGGTAATTGGATGAGTGACCGATAATTTAATATTTAAAATTTTTATAACGAATTTTTAAATTTGTCCTGAATTTTAGTCAGGAAATTCTTGTTTGTTAAGAAGGATGAAGAACGGAATATATGTAAAAATTTTGGAATGTAAAGACATTTGCGATTAAGAATAGACACTGCTGGTAAAAGAGATACGATTATACAGTCTAGATTGTTAATGAAATTAATCTTGAATCATTCAAGGCATGTTAATTTTTATTCTCTAATAATATGATTTATTTTATAAAGAATATATGTCACTAGTAATTATGAAGATGATTTAACTCTGTCCTGGTTCCATTTTAACAAATAAAAAAAATTAAGGGTACTAACTATACACTTTGTAAGTGTAGATTGCACCCTAATTCAAAACTCTCCACAAAATGAAGGTAAAAATTTGATGAGGATCTGAATGAAGATTCCTGTGAAAATGATATAATAAGATTTTTTGAAAATAAAGATTATTTAAATATTTTATGTAAATTCCCTCAATTAATTTTTATTTATTAAATATAATACAACCCTCCCATCCACTGTGACAGTTGAACTTGTGTTTGGCACAGCGAAAGATGTGTTAAGCACTAAGTGCTCTTGTTATTTGGTCAAAATGTTGAAAATCAGTTGTTAAAAATTAAAAAATTATTACAAAAAGAACTTATCTTATAATATATTATTTTTATTTTCTATGAGGAAAAAATAAATAAAAAGAAGATTTATATATAATATTTAGTATTTTTAAGTAACGAGTAATGCTTTACTTTTTTTGAATAGCCAGTAACGCGTTCTTTTTTACACATAGTAACGGTAATACGTTCCTTTTTTCAAACGTAACGAGTAACGCATTTCTTTTTTGAAGTAACATTTATAGTACTAATAATAATTAATTTTTTTTTCTCTTTGTTTCATTTTTGGATGATATATAATAATTCATCCATTTTTTAATAGGTGGTAATAAAAATTTGTCAATGTAGATGAGAGCCCCGCTGTCCCATGAAGTTGGGCGCCTATGCAAATACCCAATCCTGATATCAAACAAAATTCATTTATAAAAATTTTGAAATAGATAGCTATAGAAAAATATAAGAGCCTTAATTGACAATAGAGAAAAAATTGGATATAGATTAAAAATATGAGAGCAGGAAAATTCGTACAAGAAAATTTAACCGCCGGGGGGTAACTTTACCTAAAATTTTAAGGGACCGGGTTTTGCAGATCTCTAATATTGTAAAAAAAAAAATAACATTAAAAAATAACCAATACCATATTATTTTTATTCAGGCATAAAAATACATTATAAAACCAAAAATTTATTATTTTATTCTTTTTTATTGAAAATAGCGAAAACGGTTCAGATTGCGGATTAATAAATGTAAATATTCCTACTAGTGGAGCCGAGATCGGGGGAGCTTTTGGTAAGTCAATTTGTACACATTTAATTTTATTTAAAAATATTTCCCACTGCCCCCCCCCCCAAATCAAAAAATGCAGATGCCAGATATCAAAAGTTTTTCTGGAATAACAATTAAAAAATTTTGTTTTTCTCAAAAATGTATTAATGCTTATGAATTTCATTATCAAGGATATTATTTAGCGTAAAAATTTAACTATAATAATTGATTTAAAATTGAGATACATGAATTCTCACATATTCCAACCGAATTTCCGACATATACACGAGCCCTACAAATTTAATTGCATTTTTTTAGCCTGGTCCGATTTTTTTTAAATTTTGAGGCCTCGCCCGATTTAATAACAAATATAATTTTATATTATGTGGAACATATCCACTTTAAAGTCGAACCTATCTTTGATAAAACGTGAAAATATAATTTAATTTCTTCACCTCTTTTGTTTTAATAGAGCAAATAAATCATACATGTCTCCTGCTAATAAGCTTTCAAAAATTAATATAATATATATTTTGTCAAATATTGATTGCTGCATTTTATTAATTTTAATTATTAATAATAAATAGATGAATTTCTTTAGAATAACCTTTTTTTTTATCGCAGAATTTATTTCGAATATTAGACAATTTATTCTGACTTTTTATTACTTAATATATTCCATTATAATATTAAAAGGTGGTGAGAAGCACACTGGTGGTGGTCGAGAATCTGGAAGCGATTCTTGGCAACAATACATGAGAAAAGGGACGTGTACGATTAACTATGGCAGTGAATTACCATTGGCGCAAGGAATCAAATTTTCATAATCTTTGTTTTTATTCTGTTATATAATCAATATATGTCCCTTTAAAGTCTAGCCTTTTTAAATGAGTATTTTTTTATAAATTCTTTATTTACATGCTCCTTAGATAAAAAAAATAATAACACCAATTGGCAATCACTCTGCGCAAAAATGCAATATAATATTGTTAGGAATAAAAATGCTTAACATTATAATAAATATTGTCAAATTCTATATCCAATTAATTTGTAATGGAAAGGTACAATATAAAACTAAAACGTTTATAATATGGTCAAAATTGTAGGAATGGCGAAAAGTTTAAATATAATAAAATACAAGCTAAAACATATGTTAGACTAATATTTAATTAAATACTATATAATTTATCATATATTTACATTATAATGTCAAATTAAATCATTGAGCGTTCTTAATGGTTATAAAATAACACGCAATTTTATAGAATTCCGATTTTAAAATTAGAGGGCAAAAGTGAGAAGGATTAATGTCCTCGTGTAGAAATAGTTGTAGGAAGTAGAGAAATATCTATGTTGTTGGATACAGGTGCTGCAATATCGATTGTAAGTTATGAAAATTATTGTCAATATTGGCCAGAAGAGAGTATATTGAGGAGGAGGTGATATAGTGATCGGAAATAAAGGTTTTTAGAAAAATTAAAATACCGTTTGTGATAAATGATATAGTTGATTATTTTAATTTGTGGATTGTTGTTAAAAAAAGTGGAGACGATTATGGGATGGGAATGGATTGTTAAGATTGGTCCAGTAAATAATTATTGGGGTATTTTTCAAATGGAATCAAACGAGATGATATGGTTGAAGTTCAAAATACTGAAATGGAAAATCAAAAATTGTGTGATATAAAGAATGAAATCATTGGAAACGGTATGACGGGTAATTTTGAGTGAGTTTGTAAAAATGAATAGTTTTCAAACGCGGATAGTACCAATTGAAAAAAGAAAGGGAAGGGATAATGTGTTGTCGGAAAGTGTTAATATTATGGAAAATGACAGAAATAGATAGGTAAAAAAGGAAATACTTTTTAGGAAGTGTGTTAATACTGGAAATGATAATGAAATAAAAATAGTAACCAATGGAAGAGAAATAGATGAAGAAATTATTAGTCAAGAAGTGTGCAGGGAACTGGATAATGAAGAGAAGGATATACCTGTGTTACGAAATTTCCCGGCGAAAATAGTAAGGAAAAAAGAGGAAGAGGAGAGTAATGTAGGGGAAGGTAAGGAACAATTGCCGAATTTGGAGAATTGGCAAAGTGCCCCGGCAATTTTAATGAATAATTATAGTAAAATTTCTGAGGAGAAATTAGGATGTTTAGTGGATTATGAAGTTGATCTCGGAAGGCTTTATACCGCTATATTGTCCGGTGCGAAGAGTTCATTTGAATGGAGAACGGAAATAGAAAAAGAGTTGGATAACTGGGTGCAAGAGGGAATTATTTGTCCAATTGGTTACAGTGAATTAACAACTCCGTTGGTGCCTGTGAGGAAGGCTAATGGTAAGTTGAGGTTGTGCGCGGATTTTAGGTTGACATTGAATCCTTGGGTTGTAGAGGTGAAATACCCATTACCGTGAATAGAAGAAATTTTCGCCAGTTTGAAAGGTGGAATCCAGGATTGATTTTTCGTGCTCATATTTGCAATTACCGATGGCAAAAACGATTACGACTTTTAAGGGATTGTTTACTTTTTCGGTTACCGTTTGGGTTAAATGTGTCAGCCCCCATTTTTCTGCAAACAATGGCCGCTGTTTTCCAAGGTTTATAAGGTGTTTTTTATTATATGGATGATGTCTTGATTGTTGGAATAACGATCAAACAACATGATGATAGGCTGAAAAGTGTTTATTAGAATTCAAAATAAAGGGTTAAAGGCCAGTCGTGAAAAGAGTGTGTTGGGAGTAACTGAAATGACATATTTGGGTCATAAAATTAATGGAATGGAGGTTAAACCGTTGTATAAAAATTTGTTGAGTATTGCGAATTTGAATAGGCCGACCAGTGAGGTAGATGTCCAGACGTTTATGGGGATGGTGAATTATTACCATCGGTTTATATCGAATTTTACATAAATAGCTGCTCCTTTATATGAATTATTAAAGAAAGGAGTACATTTTGAGTTTAAATGAACAAGATATTGAGTTCAGAGCATTAAAGGAGAGAATTGGGAAAGAGCAAATTCTGATCTGTTTTAATAGTGGTTTGGAAGTCATTTTGGCTGTAGACGTGTGTAATAGAGGAGCAGAGTTGTTAATCGCTACTTTTATAAGTAGCGCGCTACCGCTATCACTAATTGTCAAAAAATTAGCGCGCTACCGCTATCGCTATTTGTCAAAAAAAATAGCTCTCTATTAGCTATTATTTTTCAAAAGTAGCTTTAGCTACTTTTTAAGCTACTTTTTATAAAAAAAAATTTAACAAATTAGTTTTATTTTTTGCTTATAATGTTATTGTATAGTAAATATATAAAAATCAACATTTATAAATATTAAAATATAATTAGTTTTGATTATAAAAAAATTTATTTAATAAAAATAAATATTTATGGTAATTTGTTGCATTTTGTAATTTTACCTAGTGTTATGTGTCCAACTATCTGCTCTGGTACATATATATGATAACTCTACTATTAGAGCGTCTTTCATCATTTTCAAGTTATCCGCTATTTTATTAATTAGTGTCTGGCGACATAAAATTCTTGTACCAGAGGATAGAGTTTTAATCATCATGGTAAATGATGGATTATCAACCAAGGACATTGGCTGAACTGTATCAATTATAAAATTAACAATAACTTTATCAGCCAATATCTGATAAATATTGGCATTCGGATTATTAATTAATTTGGTTTGATTTTAATTAGTCTTTTTGGATGTAGAATCGCCTATACCAAAATTATTTTAATGTTTCCCCATTTCCTTAAAGCTCTTGGTATGAACAGTTTTATAAAATAAACACTATTAGAATGTAATACTGACAATTTACCTTTTGGTGTTTCTTGAGGTTATAACTGGATTGACGTGAGGAAATATTTTTTTTTACATTTTAAACAAATAAATTTGAAGCCAGTTTTGGTTTTTATATTTATTTTAATCAAATCTAGGGAATGGGAAATTTGTATTATAGCTATTAAGAACATTTTCTTCTTTGGTATTTTCCATTTTATTAATATCATTGTCTGAATCACTTTCAACGATTTGGATATCCATAGACGATGACATTTTAAATTATTAACCTGTGATTTAGGTTTATAATACAAATGAAAATACAAATTACAAATTGAAAATATATTGCAATTTCAAAATTAAATAATAAATCCTAAAAAATTATAATTAATTATGATATTATGTTTAAATTTTCATGTTTATACTTACCTTCATTATATTTTATAAAAGTAGCTAAGTAGCGGGCTACTTAGCTACTTTCAAAAAATGTAGCGCCCTACAAGTAGCTCGGTACTTTAACAACTCTGTAGAGGAGTAGGTAGGGCGATGTTGCATCTAATAGATGTGAGAGAATTGCCTATTTTATTTTTCTCGAGGGTATTTCGAGAGGTAGAAAAGCGATATTCGGTGATAGAACAGGAAGCTTTGGCTGTGATTTTTGGGTTAACAAAGTGTCGCGAGTACCTTATAGGTAGGAAGTTTGTTGTTTTTACATATCATAAGCCATTAATACATTTATTTAAAAATATAATAAAGAATTGATGCTGTCGCCTCTACTTCAGCGATGGTTATTGTTAGTGGGAAGTTTATATTTGGACTTGAGATATCGAAGAGGAAAGGAGAATGAATTACCTGATATTTGTCGAAATTAGGAGCTGGGAAAAACGGGGATAAATCTGCTGTATTGAAAAGTGATAATCGGGAAGAATGTCTGGTACGTACGGTAATGCGAGGTATAAAAGATAGCCCAACTACCTGGGAAGATATACAAAAGTGTACATGGAAAGATAGAGAATTAGTGGTAATTAAATTGTGTCTAATGGGTAAAAGGTATTTTTCTTATAATGTTTTCAAGAGAAAGGAGATTAATTTTTGTAATATTCATTTGAAATGAATGATTATAAATAATTATTGGATAAAAAAATATATAAAAGATTGTTATACAAAATTATTTTTTAACTTTTTATTTTTCGCCTTAAATTTTTTAACTTTTTTTATTGCCTTAATTTTTAATCTTTTAATTTTTTTTATTTTTTGTTACTTTTTCCTTTTATGTTAATTTATAATTGATTAATTTATATATAATTAATAAAGAAATTAGTATATAATTTTATTTCTTCTATTTTATTTTTCAGCCCTAAATTTCTCTAAAATATAGCAAAGGTCATGGAAAGAGTTTTCAAAAATATTGAAACGGAATAACTGTAGTGGACGGTTGTGTTATGAGGGGACACCGAGCCGTTATACCCCGGCGTTTGAGGGGAAATTTTTTGAATGTTATTCATGCGGGTCATCAAGGAGTTACTCGTATGAAGCAGGCGAAGAGAATATGTATGGTGGCCGAGAATAAACGAGGATATTGCCAAGTTGGTAAAGGAATGTGAGATTTGTAATGCATGGTCAGACATGCCCCATAAGGATAAAAATGGTACATGGCCAAAAGTAAACCAAGGGAGAGGATTCATGTTGATTTTTTCGAATATGAAGGGAAAAAGTATATATTAAGTGTAGATGCATTCTCCAATGGATAGAATTTGAAGAAATTCATGGGTTAACTGCGAATATTATGATTAAATATTTTAAGAAAGTATGGTCGAAGTTTGGTATCCGAAAACGGTGGTATCGGATAAGGAACCAGCTTTTATTGTTGAGGAATTTAAGAAATTCTGTGAGAAAACGGGTGTGCAGCATGTGTTAGCGCCACCGTATCACCCCAGTTCCAATGGACAGGCAGAACATATGGTAGCGACGGATAAAGGATGGTTGAAGAAGACAAAAAGGGAGAAAAATGGGTGTAGCATTTGTATTATAATAATGCGGTGGGAAAAGATGGTTTGTCTCGGGCAGGAAAAATAATAGGCCGGAAGGTTAGGATGTTTTTGGATATGTTGGTACCTAGTAAAACGGCTGTAATTATAGAGGATATCGATAGAAATAAATTGGAATACAATGTTGGACAATTAGTATGGATTAGATTATATGGAAGTTCAAAAAATGGGAGAAAGGTGTAGTAATAGAAAATTTGGGAAACAAATTAAATAAGGTAAAATTGATGATAACGGTGAAGGGGTCAGACACAGATCAATTATGGAAGAGA